AAAAAAATGTTAATTAACTCTAGGCTATAAGATAATGGCTTTATGGTTTTTTTCTTCCTCCTGGTTTTCTTTTGCAGACTGCAGTATCTACTATAATTACAGGTTATAATACATGCACTGCTGGACCCAGAGAAAGAAAAGGGTATGCAATTTGTCCGCTTACAATGTGCTCATTAATGCCTGTCTGACAGTTGAGATACTATAGCGCAAGCCGTGAGTCAATGGGAAGCAGAGTCCTCTGAATAACATAAGAGCACATGCTGCCTCTGACCCAGAGCTGGTCAAAAGAAAGTGAGGGAATCATCCTCATCTCCCACCACAGGGTGTTTTATGCCAAACTGTGAGCTACTCCAAAGCTTCAAGGGTCTTCCAGTCTTTGTATCATGCACAACTTGATTTTAAATTCTGAACGATACAATGTCTTTGGTGTAATAAAAAAGTTACCTTAATGCAAAGAGTTCTCCAATTTTCTGCATTACATCTGCATGAGACAGTTTCACCTTCCTTCTTGACTTTAGTATCTGCAGAGAAGATAAGTTTTTCAGTCTTTGATCAAATAAGCTAGAAGTTAAGAAGTCTGAAATTCTACAGCCTAAAGTGTATACGAGTTAAAATTTGAATGCACAACATACATACTTATTAACTCTTAAATTTTGTTCTCATAGTGCCTTACTTTCTACTTTGAGTTTTACAGCTCTGATTTACCTAAATAATGCGGGAATCTAGGAATATCACCATTTGACTGTTTGTCCAGGTCTTTCAATAGATCACTGAGTACACACCCATCAGGATCAATACAGGCTCTTAGAACATTTCCTATGAATGATTTCCTGAACAAGACATCATTCGTTCTCTCTTATTACTATTGCTATTTTTGAGTTGTGGCATTGTTCGTTTACTTTGCCACTACTTAGCCTTCTTATAGACTTCTTCCTCCCTTATGACAAGCAACAGATTACTATTTCTCTAATTAAAAAAAAAACTCAGGATTTCTCTTTGAACCCTGCAAATCCAATTTTTACAACATGCAACATGATATGGAGTTTGTATTTTAATTAAGTCTCATGAAAAGTCTCATGTGGCTAAAGTTACTCACTTAACTCTTACTAACATTCATATCAGAGCATGCTGCTTTGAGACTAAGATGCCACACAGTATGTTGCTTGTTCTGGTATGCACGAACATTCAACAGTGGCAGGGGCACCACAGGGTAAATCCCACCTGTAAATACTGCTGATTTCTTGTCCCATCCCTTTACAGATTTTCTGAGCTCTATATTGATGGCTTTACCAGCAAAGTTGTTAATCATTCAATTGTTTTTTCCATATCCTCAGCTGTTTCTGACTGATCTTTTACCAAAAAAAAAAAAAGGGCGGGGGGAGAGGTACAAACAAGACCTCACCTCAGGAATTGACTGGATAGATTCCACAAAGTTATCCAGTAACGATTCCCAAATAGCCAGTTTTACTGCAACACAAAGTTGACAAAGCAGAACGCTGTTAGAGGTATATATGCTTTCAAGTAATCATATTTTTAAATCTGCCAACATACTGCTTCAAGAAGCATGTTAATACATACAGAGTAAGTGTTAAGTGTTAAGCAATCCATGCTCATACATCTATGGACGAATTTGGGCTCTGGGTTAATCCAGCTCTGGGTGAAGATCCACCTGAGCTCAGCTCTCGTCTCCATAGGATCAGTTCAGATCCTGGAGAGTATTTGCTTCAACTCAGGTGGGTGTTTGAGTGCTGTTTAATGCTCTACTGTACACTAAGCCTTTGCAAAATGGACTCCAAGGAGACATTTCAGAGGCTGGAGATGATGAGCCCTGCTGGAATCAGGCTGACTTCACGTGGTGCCGCAACAGAGAGTCTGCACGGCACTTCCGCAGTGCCCTGCAGAACTCATACTTTTCGTTTTTGACGCAGCTTACCCAAGCAACGGAGAGTTAGCTTGCATATATGCACAACATCTGTACTTACTGAAACTAAACTAGAACTTAAGTCATCTCCCTTCTCATTTTTGGTGAATATACCATTCGCTGAAGATATAAAAGTCCTCTTCTGTGGCAGCTGTTCAGCAGAGGCAATGGCACCACGAGTCTTATTACAATGGATAGTCCCTATGTCTCAGCTTGAACCTGAAAGGATGATCTCTAGAGATCAAGAGGATGTAATTCAGACTCTTTGTTCTTTAAACCTCACGTTCCTAGATGAGAATGCAGCAGTAAGATCAGTTTCAAGAATTTAAGGAAGGATTTAATTCTCAAAATGAACTCTTATATTTTGTGGTAATAATCACTGCCATCATCTACTCGGGATACTTTCAGTAAATCCAATAGTGAGCATTTTTCATGCTCATCTTTTGAGTAAGCGTGTCTAATCCAGTCCAAGTCTTAAATGGTATTTAATTTAGTCACTGATAAAAGGTAAATAAGCATTTTTGGCAACGAGTGATTTTTTTCTCAGAAGTGGTTTCTGCTGTGTCCTAAGTCTGAATTTGACTATACTTGGACCCCCTATTATCACAGGACATTTCCTTGTCTTGCTTTATGTTGCACGTGTCTCACACTAATGTAAATCGTTACTGACTCTCTCCTGGGAATAAATCTCTTTCTCCAATACATGTGGCATCACTCGTTCCCATGTGTTGTGGCTTTATGAATAAGAAAACTATGGCAAACGAAAGGCTTCCCCTCTGCCCCCAATATCTCAGTTACTCTGGCTTTCTTTGACAGTCAAGGACCAGTTATGCTCTACTCCTTGATCGAATGGTGTATCACTTCAAAACATACATCCTGCTTCGTGATGTCTTTTCTGTTCAAAGGTGCACTTCCCCACATAATACACAAATCTCGTCATTCCTCTTAAAAGCAGTAAAGGTAGACAGACGAGAGTTTCTTTTATTCTCTTTCTTAGAAGGGCCTTACTGCTCCTTACTTCTGTTCCTATTTCCTACCTCATTCAAAGTCTGAAGCAGCAGAGATTTGTAGTTCCGCAAGCACCACTGCTGAGCCTGACTTCCCAGTGCCTGCTACTGTCTCTGACAAAAGTACCAACTTTGGCACAGAGCCCTAACTAGTAAGCCTGGCAAACTTTATCTGTGGCTGTAGTCCACACCTTTGATACTCCCCAGCTAGGTATCACTGCTTTACATTGCTCTCGTCTTGAGCTGGAATCTAGCATTTTCTATTAGAGGAACTGATGTCAGGATTGAATATCTAAGATTACTGATCAGTTTCCAATAATGGACTCTATTCTTGTTGCTATCCTAGATGAGTTCTTAAGGATGGGGAACAGGATGAAAAAGAAGTTTTACTGAGCAAAATGTGTTTCTTAACGTGCTTTGTTCATCTTTAAGATTCACGTTGAATGAAGTAATTTCTGTTTAGAAAATACAAGATAAAAACTACCACAACTAATCTTCCCACTGAAGCACAATAAATCTTTACACAATTTGCTAAAACCAGACATTCAGTCTTCTCCTCCAACCTGTCACTGTGCAAGTCCCACTTATAATAACATTTCACAACATCTGTAGTACAGTCTGATAGTACAAACAATACTAACTTACCAGAAAGACAAAGAGCATTTGAAAAAGCAAATTTCTGCAGAACAACCTCATCAATATCCAGCTCAGAATTTAATAAGATTTCTCCTTTATGAAGCTTTGACTGCCCTCTGTTAAAACAAGATTGAAGCATCTTTATTGACTAAGCCACCAGCAAAGGAACGATTAAAGAGCAATCAATATTGCAAGAAAGGCTGGTTGTTTTATACACAAATAGATATCTATACGGATATCATCCCCATCCTTGCATTTTACTCATGTTCAACCTCACAATAACCAAAATGAACCATAGCAAATCACTTCTTCAGTTTAAGAGTAATATTATGACGCAGTTTCCTAGGTTTAGATGAAACTGCAGCAAGCTGGGGTGGAAAATGAAGCATTACTATGCGCACACAGATAATTCAGAGGAAGCAGGACACTGGCCATTTTCCTTCCTTCTCTCTGTCTCCTGTATTATCTTTCTTTCTCTGTTCTCCTTTTCTCCTGTCACTTCCTGACATCACTCTCTTCCTGCCGTGATGTTATTTTCCCCCAAAGTATCAGAGTCATTTATAACTCTCATTGCAAAACTTGCATAAACACTATGGAATATGTCAGGAGTCACAGATTCCACAACTGGACAGTATAAACAGTTTTCAAATAGTTGGGGGTGGGGGAGAACTACTCTTACTGGCTTATTTAAATAAGCCTAACCTTATTAGCTCAGCTGATAGTGTTATGATGTGCTGTCTAAGAGTACAGTTTTTTGGTGCTATTGGAAAATTATAGATAATTGACTCAGTCATGTACATTGAGAACTACTTCCACAGAGAATTTTTGCTCCCCATGATGAAAATGTATTTAACAAGACAAGATAACTTGCCAGATTTCTCCTTCCACAGTATTCAAGTTATACCTTTCCTAGACAGTTAAGTATGTGCAGAATACATCTTTGTATATGGACCTAGAGGTGACTGAGGAAAGCTTATGCAGAGAAGTTCCATAACTTCTCCTTTGCATCAGAGTTGTCTCAAAAATGCACCTTTATTTTTTCTGTGAGGTGCATCACTTCTGTGTGGGATTGCTGAAGAACATCTAAGTTGTGTGTACATGGAGTTTCATAACTGAAAAAAATTAGTATATAACCAACTCACACAGGCTATTAATTTTAAGGTCAACAGTTAGGCAACATTTCTGAATTTAAATTTACTGTCTTCTCCTTTCCATATTTTACTCATTTGAAAAAGAGTAAGCAAAAGTACATTTTCACTAGTTGCTTTTGCTCAAGTTGGTTTTAGATGTCTGTTAGTTTTTATATCCAGAATGCCTGAAGATACTTACTCTCCTTTTCTATAGTTCATCTCTTCATTCTCCCAGTGTACTAATGCAACTTCGTAAGGCTGAATTTCATGGTGTTCTAGCATTCGCATTACATTCTTCATCTAAGAAAAAGACAATTGCAGGTAACAAGAGTTACCGCGCAGCACACAATCGCTCTACAAAGATCTTCTGGTCTGTAGTAGGTTGATGAAGGCTACTTTCACGCTGGAGTTATTTACATAACGCTGAAGAGGTGCGCTAAGTAGTTTTGGTATTAGAATGATGTAATTGTTAACATAGTTTATTTCTGAAGCTATCTGTGACTCTGTGGATGAATTTTGTGGCTATGAACAACTGCAAGAAATCTGTGAAAACTAAAATCATTTAATGTCTGCATTTATAGAACAGGGTCAAGATTAACCATAGCAGCAACAAAGACAATGCAGAAGCATTCAGTAACAACAATGAGCTATTAAAGATTTTGGTAGAAGCCTGGGTGTGGAACTGAATCTCTAGGGTAAGTATATCAGGTGGCTGGCTTTGCTAAAGTGACTAGTCTGCTGAAATCAATAGTTTTGTTTCAGCTACCAGGAGTCTGGTTTTATTACAGAAGTTCTTTTCCGCTGCAAAAATGTATTAAATGTTTTCAACTGCCTGCATGTGACTCTGCAAACAGTTAAATGCACAATTTTACTTGCAGAAGTAATTTCATTGTCATTTTGTTCCTAAGCACACTAAAAACTAATGCAGAAAGAAAACTCTCACAAAACTTTCTCCTCTAGCATCTAGCTTAAGCTCCCTCATCCTTGCTCCTTTCTGCATGTTACAAGTCTCCCTCTCATACAAATCATTCTTCAGTTAGAACAAATTCTGAACTAAAAAAGCACTCATCAATAGCTTTTAAAAAAGTACTTAGCTAGAAAAAAGCCACTAAAACAACAATATACGTTTGATGCCTAAATTTTTTACAGAGGGGAATCTGGTACTAAGTGTTACTTTAAAAACTCTCTTCAAATAAATATGGAATAGTCAATCTTTTGAGTGCAAAACTGCTTGCTCTTAAATTGTTCATGGAGCAGTCTCCCCAGGTATATACTTTAAAAATCAGCTGGATCCCCTGCAAGAGGCATTTTCTTTGCAGTGCTAGCTTTCTTCACTGCTTTCATGAATTTTGGTGATATTATCTAGAAAAGGCATGATAACATTAATCATTGTGAAGAGAGGCCTAAAGCTGCAACTGCTTGTTTCACTATCCCGAATTTAACAGTAGCACGATCAATACCTGCCATATATTCCAAATACTGTGGTAAAAAAAGGGTATGAAGTATTCTTCTGTATTCCATTGTATTAAGCAAAGAAGTGTATGCTGTTTGACCAGACAGCTTGGTCAACCAGTTCTGGGGACAGTTCAGCAATGCAAGCCCTGCTAAAACAATGCCATTTTAGCCAGTCTGGAATATAGCATGTCAGACTTCAAGAGCATATTCACTTGGATCCAGATACCCTAGCTGGCTTTGAAAATTCATTATTATTAACATACTAATAACTATGCTGTTAATAGGCTTACAGTCCCTTCCAGAACTGTAACCAGCTCAGGCTTTCCAGGACCAGTAGAGAGCACAATTTAACAAAGCTTCATAGACACTAGCTGAGTCTGTGCAATTCATGTGTCTTGTAATGAACAGAGAGAAACTATATTTCAGTGGCAGTTTTATCTATTCAAAGTAATGCAAAAGCTTCTGCTGATTGAGGTGAGCTTCTTCTAGGCCCACCCTGATGTTATAGAAGGGACTACCTGTGACGCAGTACATTTAATGAAGAAAGATATTCGGGATTGACTGAATGCAAACTCTTGCTTTTACAGGCAAACACTTTGTACAATTCCCCTTTAAAAAACAGAAAAACCCGGAAGCTAGCTTGGATTTTTGCTCTTACAACTTCTGCTGGGGAGGCTGCTCCGCAAAGTTCCTGCTCAGGTATTCAGAAGCCATATTTTACGTTTTCAGTTTCTATTCATTTGTGATCAGTCTGTAATTACTACTTCCTGTGTTGAGTGTCCCTTAATGTAAAATATTTTTTCTCCCATAAGAATTGCTCTGGAGTATTTTTAAAGAGCAGTTATATCTATTCTCTACATTCAGTTTGACCGAATGTAAGTACACAAAACCATATATCATAGTCCAGTCTTAGTAGCGCCTTCCACAATGACATTAATACTTTTCAGTCCCTAATGGCAATGCCTTGGCTGATACAGCATGCGTTGCAAGTTGTCTTTTTTTGCATCTGAATTATGTGCTGTTCGGGGTTATCCTTAATGACGCCACCAGCGCGTGCCTCTCTTTTCACATTTACAAGTCATGAAGCCCCAATTAATAAACAATAGCTTTTGTAATTAGTCTTGCAGCAGGGTGTTATGAGTCTTTGTGTTACGTGTATTTCAGTTTTCCAAACTCTGATTTGTCATTTTGGTGGTTAAGAGGGAAGGCAGTGGAGATGGGTTTTTGTCACTTCTCACACGCTTTAAGTGAACTCTTCTCCCACCAATGACTTTTGCATTCTAAAGAACAGTGTATGATTTAGGGCTGATATGTGGAATCCTGTCTACATTAAAAAAATCTCAATATATTTTGGTTTATAAAATACAGCTCTAATAATCTGAAATGACAGAATACTGCATCTGAATAATGCCATCGCCAAATTTTTTTAAGAACTGAAAAAAATGTTTTTTTTTTTTTTAAAGATGAACAAAGTCAGTGGGAAATATATATATTTGTTTAGCTTTTCAAGTGAAATGAAACACTGTGTAACCGTGTTATGTAAGTACTAGTATTTATGGGAGACTGGATAGACGACAGCTTCTGGGTCCAGCTCTCCCAATAGAAAAGGCTACGGCAACCAGTGGCTGGTTACCATCCTCATTAAAACAATTTATATCGTTGGTTTGAGATAATCCAGGTATTTTTTCTGTAAGAAAACTAAGGAGCACTGCGCATTCTGTCAAGGGATCACTGTCTCCTCCACTGCATGTTTGGATCCACAAGAGGACATCATTTAATTAGCTGTATTTGCACTCATTACAACCTTCCTACAATAAAATGCTTTCAGTTTCTGTTCTACAGAACTGTTTTTTTCTTATTTTTAGTTTTGGTTCATTAGAATTTGTGCTTAAAGCTAGTCCCTCTATTTGAGCAAGTTATTTTCAAGTTAAAATGTTGACTAGGATTTGGAAAAGCAGAAAAATCCAGCTTTCCTTTTTCTATTTATGAATAAAACTAACAAGGGAACAACTAAGCTTACTAGTTCTGACAAGAAGAATGTGATGTTGAAGTTTTCAAAGGTACTAAAGCATGTAAAAACATACAGCAAAATGACATTTTTCCAAGTATCCCAGCGGGTAAATGTACTCAACTCAAAAATCGGTGGCGTTCAGGCAGCTGTTTTTCTGTAATACCTGTGAATCAGTAGTGTTGTTATAGCCATAGCAGCTTAAGTGTGCCACAGGCAAGGTCTGGAGGGAGAGCTACTATTTTTTGTAGACCACCTGATAGAGTGAAGAAGGAAAAAACAACCACCACCACCACCACCACACAACAGGAAATCAGGAATAATTCAGGTCTGAAATATAAACAGCAAACTTGAATCGAGAAATTGTTCATGTCTGGAAACAACTGCTCTGTATTTTAATATATTTTAATGAAAATCTTTCTGTGAACCTCTGTGCATCTCAGCATCATCCGTCTAATCACCTATTAGTTTCATATATCCTGCATACAGACAAGACTGATAATTTGTATATATGCATCTAGCACTCAGTTTTATTTAACCACAAGAATAAAAAATTAAAAGTATTAATACATAAATATCTGCAAATAATTATAAATACATACATAAAAATAAATATGCCTGTAACATATCCTTTTGGTCAGCAAAACCACTGTATTATGCTAAGGGTTATATTGATTCTATGTCAACATATTTTAATCATTATACCAACCTATAAAAATAAACGTTCCTTTAGGAAAATTACTAACTGGCAGAAAAACCAAGCAAAAAAAAATGTTTGGCTTTTTCAGAGTTATTTAAATGTAACTTTTGAGTAGTTTTGACTTAAATGGCTCTGGAATCACCATTTTCTGCAAACTCATCTTCTGTTACATAAGTACTTTTCAAACAACCATTTTAAACTTTTGATTTCACAGGTTGATTTTTCTGATTTATTTCTTCAGTATGTACCGCTGCAAGGACTTTCTTTTTGTCAGTTTCACTAGATCAAGGTTTCAGATTTTTGGCCTTAGGTAGAAAATTTCATCCACTTTGAATGTTACGCATACATTTCCCTATTTTGTGCAGAAAGACAAATTTTAAAGATGACTTATCAGCAACCCACACACTTGAGGGCAGCAGCAGGCAAGCAGCTGCACTGATTAGGAGAAGAATTAGTCCTTTTCCTGCCTGAAGGAGAAAGAAGTTTTCCTCCCAGAAAAACCCAAGCATGCAGGGCTTTGTGGACCGACAAAACATCTGCTTAAGTAGTAGTAGAAGTATTAACACACAATTTGCTCTACTTACCGTTTTCTCTTCCACATTCCAAAACACAACAGCCCCTTCCCTGTGAATTCAAGGAAAAACTAATGTGAAATTACAGTATTTAAAATTTGTTTTAATGCCATACTCAAATTGGACAGTGGCAATTCTTGTCACCGTGAATCAAGAAATGTGATACTGTTTATACGTAAACATAATAGTCACTTTTTAACGACACTAATGCGAAACATGAAAAAGCAAGTTATTTTTAATTAGTTAAATCATTTTGATTTTTAATGATTGGACAGTTATTCCTTGAGATTCATGAGGGAATATGATGCCATGATCTAGCAAGCTGCACTACTTCTTTCACAGGATTGATATTATAAAATAGTATGTTTCAGGCATGGTTTACAACTTACCTGAAAAAAAAAATCATGCCAGGATCGTCATCTTTTGCAGACTTTTCAGTGCCAATCACCAAAACATTTGCAGCATCTAGTTTAAAATAAACAAACAGGATTAAAGTTCTAAACACAGAACTATTTGGATTCCTAAAGATGATAGCTACAAACATATAAATCCAGTTCAGCAGTGATTTGGTAACACTTTCAAAGTCAGTCCTATCTTTTATTTTTCTGATGGAAATGCTTGCCAGGAAACATCCACAATATAAAAAGTTCATTGGTTCTCCAAAGCTTCATACTCTGTGCATACTCAACTGCTATGTTAAACTTCACTGGAAACTTCTTCAAAATTATGAAACGTAGCATTTTTGAAAGACAAAAGACTCAAGGGAAAGCTGATGCAGGGCATAGTAAAAAACCAGGAACAGAACAGAGAATGTAGAACTGACGTGTAACGTGAGTGAACCAGGGAAGTCTGCCCACAGTTGCAAAGGAACTACCTTTCAAATCTGCTTGCACAGAAGACCAAAATCCTTCTCTTTTCTATATAGCAAGGAACTATTCTGCACTCAAATTTTGTTGACCTTGCTTTGACCGTCAGAAACATGAAAAAGTATATCCCCAAGACAGCGGAAAGTGCATCTGCATTTGCATTTTCCTTTGGATCTGGAACGTGTTTTTGAGACAAATCTTCCAATCTCCCCTGTTTACAGCACTTCGATTTGCATTGCACAACAGTGTCAGAGTGTACAAACTGGATTTCCTTCGCAAGAAATTAAAGTCAAGGATGAGCTCCAGAAGTGCACCTGAGATACTCCAACCACTAATGGGCATTCCATACAGAGAACCAAACTCAAGCTGCTGCAAGCAGAATGTCTGAAAATATACACGGTGTGGATGCTGGGTTCCGAAACAGTATTTTTCTATGGATGTGCTCCTATTGTACTTGCTAACATAAGACATAGCTATAAAAGTCCTGATGCGGTTATGCCAAAAAAGGTTCCTTCCCAGCATGACTCATCTTGTTTAAAGAACTAGTGGAAGCTAAACCAGCAAAAAACCCTATCCCTATTACAAAGCCAGACTCCGCAAAGAGGAATTTGCAAGGCCTAATGCACCAGCATTAAAACGTTCAATCCTTTTGCAGAAAGACCACAAATTAAAAGCCAAGGCATCAAATTCAGTCTGTGTACAAATTCCACTATTTGCTTTACTGTTCAAGCTGACAAAGAGAGAACAGGTAGACCACAAAGGCAGGAAGAGATGACTAAATACTGGAAACATTTTTGCTAATAACTGAATTGAGATCATACAGTTGTTTTCTATGAGCCCTTTAAAGACTTCTCCTTCACTTGCTATTCCAATTCAGAAAAATATGACTTGATTAATCACTAGAGCAAGTTCTGGGTGTGAAGTTGGAGTTCACCATGGAAGAAACATTTATCTGCGTCATCTCACTTGCCTTCCAAATATCACTCATACTTCAATTGTATTTATCCACTCCAGCTAAAACATGTACAAATGGAAGTCAATTTGGTCCATTATAAATATAGGTACAGACTCTAAATTAAATGTTTCTAAAGATGTCAAAAAAAAAAAAAGAATAATGCTTGGGAAGAATACTACAACAAATCTACACAAAAATTGTTAATTTACAATCCTATGTACTAATATTTTTTAATTTTTTAAGATACAGTGTTTGAGTTGGTAACCAACCGTTGCTACATCCCCATGCCAACAAGATATCAAATTTGCTGGCACAATCAAATATCCTTTCATCATTACTTCCTCCACACTTTAGACAAACAGAGTATCTATTATAAAGAGTCAAAAATACACCATGAAGAATTGAAACAACTGGCAAGACTCACACTTCCAGCATAAAATACCAGCAACAACAGTATTTCCCCTATAATAATCCACAATCATGCTGGGCACTGCACAAAGCTCCTATCCTGAAACAGTGAAAGAAGCCAGTGTTGTTTCTAATACAAAGAAACTACCAAGGAACAGGAAGCCTATATTGTGTATCACCTTGCCTTTCCATGTTAATCTAAGCAAGATGACTCATAGTGTATCTTGGGTTAAAAAAAAAAAAAAAAAAACACACAAGACTCTGTTCTTACTTACGAGGTCACTTAGATTCACTGATCTCTCGTCCCCCTTCCATAATAGAAAATTAATAAGCTTCGCCAATGCACTCCCAGCACAGAACTATCAAACTTTATCTCATGTTTGCGAGGCAGCCAGAGAGTTGATAACCTCTTAGCTTCATATAGTCTCTTTCTTCAAAAAATACACATTCCCTTCTACTTCCAACACCACAGCTGTTCTAGTGCATAAGGTCTTTTAGACTGTCTAAAATTCCATTTGCTTTTCCTCTTGTCATATACTTCAGCTATTTCCAAGCCATACTTTCCCAAGGCTTCAGAGATGCTTTGTATGGAAACAGAGCCAATTATTTTGCTCATGCCCAGTTGAAAGGAAGTATTCAACAATTACTAGGCTATACTTGGTCCAATACAGAATATCAACTACATTCTCTCTACTGGAAATAAACACCTATACGTATACGTATTTTACATTTCACCTAGTTGGCATGATTGTCTCCTGCATGCCTCCCTCTTCTTTACAAATTAAGCCTAGGGGTACGCCATAACATATATCATGGCAAGAAAAAAAGGACAAATAGAAAAAGTATTAAAAAGGGTAACTTTACTAACAGTAAGCTGTTAGTCAGATGTCCTGCCAAAGTCTAGTTTCCAAATAAGACGACTTCAAAAATTTCTGTTTTCCACTACTTAGTATAAAAAAAAATAACAACAAACCCTATGCCCTAAAGACAAGAACATTTAGAAGTGGAAATACCATCTTAATTTTCTACCTTTCCCTTAACTAACCGCAAAATATTAGCAGATA